ACAAATTGGTATATATGAAATAAAAAATTGCACAAGATATATAGTGACAAGTGATAAATTGCATGAATTAGAATTAAAATCTAAATATTATAAGAGCAAAATAATATTAAATATAGAAATTGCATAAAAGTATCATATAACATGAAGTTCAACTTCAAATTTTTTCTTTCTCAATTCTCTATTCATTTACATTTAATTCTTAATGAAAGCTGAAATAGTTGGTAATAACTTATGAATCATCTACACTGTCATCACTGAGGTGGTCTTTATTTGAGCTGTCGCAATAACAAATTGGTCTATCCCTTGCCTCATTTGGTAGACTCGAATGCCTCCCAATGCTTTTTATTAATTTATTTCAATCATGTTCATCTTTTAGAAATATTTTCATCAACATAAATGCTCCAAAAATTTTAGAGTGGTGGTGTGCAACTTTCAAGTTATTATCGATAACGACTACGACGTTGTTGGCTGTGGCGAAGGCCGCGGGTTAGAGGTAGAGGCAATCGAGAGGAAGTTTTTGCACTCTAATGTGAATGAAGGCGTGATTTATATTTGTTTTAACAAAAAAAAATATACAAATAGGGTGAGGCGTAAGCTTCACGCTAGCAAGGGGAGGCGTGGCTCAAGATGGGCCTTAGCCAAGTTGAGGCGCAAGCCTCATAAAAAAGCTAGAGGTATAAGCCTCAAGGCTTTTTTCACTAGAATTTTGCTGAGGCGAGCCTCATATTGCGCAATTTTAAACATTGCCTCCAACAATGTATAGGTTAGTAGGTAAAAACTCTTGGTTGCCTTTGTGCTTAGGAGTAATTGACTTGGACACCATTTATTTGGTCACTATACATGGATTAATAGTTTGAGTGCAGTTGTATTACCTTGAATTGTAGATGAATATTACAATATCATTTGCTTCTTTAACGGATACTGGCAGTTGTAGAAGGAATAATAGTTAATGGAGTGAAATAGATGGAGATGGATTTCCTAGTTTCTCATCACAATCATCTTTATTTTGGTCATAACTATTTGCGATTAGGTTTATGAATCATTTTTTCACATTCATTCCTGCTTAGCAATACATGAGGTTTTAAACTTATTTGTGTAAATCGTTTTGTATAAGGATCTTGTTGCATGATGATCTCATGCATTTGAAGACTAATGCGCTAACACGTGTATTGGGAGATTGTTGGCACTTATCCTGTCCCCTGTGGCCTTGGAGCCCCTGGCCTTGGCGCTTATCCACCCATTTCACCAATGAAAATCAAATATTATCAAATTGTGATTCTCCTCCTATGGCTGCTCTCATTCTTAGGATTTCTTCTGTCTTTGTGAGGTCTGTTTTTGTTGTGTGCTCCCCATGAACAAAACAGATTTTTATGAAAAATTCACTCACTTACGCCTTTTATTACTTATATCATATCTTGATAATCATTGCATTCATTTAGGATATATATCAAGGAAATATTATTTACAGATTTTGTTACAACAAAAACAATGACGACGATAACAACAAGCCTTTATCCCACTATCTGAGGTTGGCTACATGAATCATTTTTCTCTAATGTGTCATGTTAAAAGTCAAATTCTCATTTAAATATAATAAAAAATATCATTTCTAATACTTTCTAACTAATACTTTTTAGGTCTATCTCGACTTTTCTTAACATAAGTCAGATCTAATACATCTATGTTAGACCGGTCCATTGGACCAGTCTAGGCGGTCCACGCGGGACCGGCCCAGGCGCAAATGAGGCGGAACTTCTCCGCCTCTTGCGTATGCCGATCAAGCCGCCATGTTCACGGGAGCCCATTTGGAAGGTTTTTTTAGGAAATTGGGAGGGAAAATTGAATGTAGGGATTTCCTTTTGATTTGTATGCATGGAATAGTTTGTTTTCCTAGGGCTAGGGCATCTTTAATTTAGTTGAAATTTGAGATCTCTTTAGGGCATCTTTAATTTAGTTGAAATTTGATATCTCTTAGATTTAAGTTTTCAATTGGGCTCTAGCGGTGTCTAGAGATTTTTGAAAGATCGATCCTCCTCTCAAATTGAGGATCAACTGTATCTTGCTAGTTTCTATTTCTATTTCATCAAATAATACAAATTTTCTACTGTTTTCTTGTTTTTGTGGGGATTCTTGTGGAGGATTTTCATTGTTTTTCTAAAGATTGGTAGGAATTACTTGAGATCTTCAAGTGTTTCCTATCAAATTGGTATCAGAGCTTGTCTTGGGACCATTGGTGGGCTGATTTTGGCAAATTTTAGCTGCTGAATTTTTGCCTGTGAAAGAGAAAGCTGCTGTTTTTTGTGATAAAAAATTAGATTTTTTTAATCTACAAAAATCTGGGGATTGATGGGGGCTAAGAAAGTGGATGCGCTAGAAGAGAGACTTGAAAGTGAGATGAATTAAATAAATGCAACGGTGGAGGACCAAATTTCATCTGTGGAAGACAAGGTTTATGATCTTCATACGATTATGAAGAAGCTCTTGGAAAATCAATCAAACAGTGGCATCAAAGACAGGGGCCGGTGGGAAGAACAATGAATTCTGAATTTCGTAGGAGGGAAAACGTTGTGAAGATCATGGACGAGATGTTAAGAAGGCTCTCGGAGATGCAAATAAAAACTTCAAGAGTGGTTCCAATGGCTAACCCTAACCGAGATTTGATCGGGATTCCCTTGGCCGAATCGAAAGGAAAGGAGATCAGCAAGAGAGTTTGACAAGGGGAGTTTCTTTCAAAAAAGCCATCTCTTTTGGCTTCGATAAGGGGTGGATCAGGGTTTCTGGATGAGGGAACAACAAAGATGAAATCTTTTGGTGGAGGCGATAGGGTGACAACCACTATGAGAGGTATTTTGGGCAAGGGGAGCCAACCATCGAAGGAGGAGGGGGTCAAGAGCCACCTCCAAAGGCTCTAATAAGAGGTGTAATGGGGTTATCGGATGGGGGTACAGCAGGAAGGCTTTTTGTGGTGAAGGTAGTGGGGTGGCCGACTCCTATGGGAGGTCTGTTAGGTAAGGGAAGTGGACGACAGAAGGAGGGGGATGGGCCGAACCATGGGAATCGGGTCATGTGAGGCAAAGGGAAGGAAGGTGGGATTCCCACCCACGATACAGGTGGGAAGTATGGAGGGATCATGACAAACGTTATACTGAAGGAGGAAGAAGCTATTATGGTGGTGGTGATCCTAAGGTGAGGAAGTTGGGGATGCCAGTATTTAAAAAAAGAGGATACTTATGGGGGGCTGTACCGGGTGGAATTGTATCTCATGGTGAATGGGGGTGACGAAGGATGAGAGATTGACAGTAGCGGCCCTATGTTTGGAAGGGAGAGCTATAGCTTGGTTCTAGTAGACGATCGCATGGTCATTAACAGAGCAGCTGAAGAAAGCTATCAACAATGTCCCATCCTTCCACCTTGAGGACAAGGTGGATCTTTGGGAGGGGAGTATTTAATAGACCGGTCTAGTCGGTCCACGCGAGATCGGCCCAGGCGCAAATGAGGCGGAACTTCTCCGCCTCCTACGTATGCCAATCTAGCCGCCAGGTTCTCGGGAGCCCATTTGGAAGGTTTTTTGAGGGAATTGGGAGGGAAAATTGAATGTAGGGACTGTTTAGGGATTTCCTTTTGATTTGTATGCATGAAATAGTTTGTTTTCTTAAGGTTAGAGCATCTTGAATTTGGCTGAAATTTGAGATCTCTTAGATTTAGGTTTTCTTTTGGGCTCTAGCGGCGTCCAAAGATTTGGGAGAGATCGATCCTCCTCTCGAATTGAGGATCAACTGTATCTTGCTAGTTTCCATTTCTATTTCATCAAATAATACAATTTTTTTTTTCTTGGTTTTGTGGGGATTCTTGTGGAGGATTTTGGTTGTTTTTCTAAAGATTGATAGGAATTACTTGAGATCTTCAAGTGTTTCCTATCAATCAACTCTCCTAATAAGGTCATCGGAAGGCCGACTTTTTATGTGACCAAACCATCTAAAGACGACTCTCTCTAATTTTATCTACCACTGGAGCTACCCATCCTTTTCACGTATATACTCATCTCACATTCTGTCTCTAAGTGTAAAGCCACTTATCCACTTGAACAACTTCATATTTGCAACACTTGACTTAATTTTATACTTCTCTTTTCATGACCAACATTCTGTGCCATAAAGCATTGCAGGACTCATTGTTATCTTATAATTTTTTTTTCTTAAGTTTGAGAGGTACTTTTCGATCACACAATAGGCCCGATGCTTTCCTCCACTTTAATCAACCAACTTGAATTCTTCTAACAATATCCCCATCTATTTCACCATTGTTTTGAACAATAGACTCGAGATATCTAAAACACTTGCACTTTTTAATGACTTGATCGCCCAATACCACAATCCCACGACTACATGTATTACTGCTAAAATTACACTCCATGTATTCGGATTTAGATTAGATCTACTCAAACGAAAATCTTTAGACTCTAAAGTTGACATCCATAATTCAAGTTTTTCATCAACTCCCTCTCTAATTCCTATCAACAAGAACAATATAATCAGCAAAAAGCACATACCAATGTGCATCATCTTACAAATGTCTTGTGAGGACATCCATGCCTAAAACAAAAAGATATGAGCTTAAAGTTGATCTTTGATGTAATCCAGCTGAAAAAGGAAAATACCCGGTCAAACCACCTTGTGTTTGAACACAAGTAATAGTTTTTGTATACATTATCTGAATGACTTGAATATAAGCATTATTAACTCCTTCCTTTTCTAGAACTCTAAGTTTAGGGAAACACTTTTAGAAGACCCTAATTTACACATAGCTAGTTTCCTATAAATCTATACAACCTTTAAATATAATGGTGTTAGTGATGATGTTATTAGACTTAGGTTGTTTCCATTTTCACTTAGGGATAAAGCTAAAATATGAATAAAGTCATTAGCCATAGGTTCAATAACAACTTGAAATCAACAAGCCATAAGTTCTTAGATATAGATTTTCCACCATAAAAAACTATCAAACTTAGAAACAACATTACTTCTTTTACCCAGTTAGATGATGAATCTATTTTTGAATCGTGAGAAAGATTTAGGAAACTTCTTAGAAAATGTTCTCATCATGCCCTTCCTAATTAGTCAATAATCCAAATGTTTTATAATAGCAGGTTCCCTCAGATTTATATCATATGTTTTTTTATAATCAATAAATATCATATGTAGATCCTCTTTACTCTCTCTATACTTCTCATCAAACCTCTCAACAAATGTATAGCTTCTATAGTAGACCCTCTCTCTATACTTCTCATCAAACCTCTCAACAAATGTATAGCTTCTATAGTAGACCTACTCGACATGAATCCAAATTGATTTTGAGAAACATTAGTAATATGTCATAACTTATGCTCAATTACTCTTTTCCATAATTTTAATGTATGCAATATTAAGTTAATTTCTCTAGAATTTGCACATTCTTGTGCATCACCTTTATTCTTAAGGGGCTGTTTGGTTGTCTGCAAAGTAAACACAGTGTAAAGTAAATGCAGTGTAAAGCAAATGTAGTGCTTTTCAAATACTTCGAGGCTGTTTGGTTGCTGCAAGTTAAACGCAAGAGAACTGTTTCTCTTGTTTTGTTAGATATATCCAGAGTAAAGTAAAAGCAGTGCATTTGTAATTTTTTTTGTCATTATAACTAGCGTAAGCATAAAATTCCCTGACTTGTCCCGTGTAAAGGTGGGGTCCCCAATTAAAAGAGCTATAATGATAAAGAATGTCTATAGTGAACGAATTAATTCAAATCAGATGAGACAAGTTCGTGTAGAAGAAGAATGGTGAAAGTGATATAGGGGACTGTGGATGCTGACATTAGCATCATAGATAAAGGAAATATAAATAAGGCAACTCAGTTTTGAGACAGACTTCTGTTACTATGAAGAAAGTTATCAACAGACCCAGTTGCTGCTGAAGATTAAGGCTTCGTTTGGGACGGCTTTTTTACTGCTTTCTAAAACGGAGTTTTAGTACAAAATTTTTTATTTTTGTACTAAAACTCCGTTTTAGAAAGCAATAAAAAAGCCGTCCCAAACGAAGCCTAAGAATCAATGTGTCAAACTTGTTTCTTACAAATGAAATTCTGAAAAAAATCAACCTGTTCTTCCTGGAGTAATTATTTTATCTGTTAAAACTTCTTACACTGATTATATATTTCACCCATTCAAGCTTTCTTCTGTCCCAAGAAACTGAAAATTAACATTTCTGCCTACACTCATTCAAGCGCATATATTTCACCATTATATTCATGCCATTCATAATTTAGAAAAAGACATTTAATTTAAAATTAAAGTACTAATTTTTGCCTTTAAGAGGCATATAATCAATGAAAAACAGAAAATCTAAATAGAAAAGTTAGAAGAAAAGTCATGACGATCATCACAATAAAGAAAAAAGTTGTCTTTGTGCAGTCCATCTTACTTAGCCTATTAATTATGTGTTTAGACTACCAATAAAGACGCCTCGGATTCAGACTTTTGCATGTAGAGATTAAATTCGCACATAGTAACACAAAAAAAAAGGAAAACTTTAATCTGTTATTTGAGTTTCCAGCCTGGGCAAGATAAAAAAGCCAACAATCATTAAAATATAAATAAATGATCACTATATAAAAGTAATAGTCAGTCGTACCCAGGTCCAAAAAACCTAGATGAGCTGTTCTGTATGTTTGGCATGCATTACATGAGAGAACACATAATCACTTCTAATTGCAACCAAACAAACTGTTCCATATTAAGGAATGTTACTGCATTGATTTCACATAATAAATTCTCAAATAGTTGGAAGGAAGCCACTGATGAAGATGATGTAAGTGTTAAAAATAACAAATGTCAGCTGCAAATAGCATTGCAAGCCTCTCAGAAAAACCTCAAGTTTTCAAACAACAAAGAAATTATTATGACAGTTGTTATGGCTACCACTTCTCTCAAATCAGCTAGGCCAGCTTCTTAGAAGGTGAACCATTAACCAGAGTTTCTCCGCCATTTAAACCTTTCCTAGAAAAAACACAAGCCTCACCCTGTTCTTTTCTTGTTGTTGTTCTCCTTCTCTGCTCTAAGTGGAAGTTCGCTGGATTCTCTGCGTGCGTTGACGTTTGTGCTTGGCATCCTTGCAATGGGCGTAGCCACCGTCTCCAGCACGCTGTCGAGGACATCGCCCCTTGGCATCGGCTCCGGCTACTCCGCCGGCTAGTCGCATCCGCTCCGGCGGCGTCTGGTCTCCATCGTTGCCTTCAAATCATCGGATCTGAACTTGTTAAAGCCCTTAACCAAATCTAGAAAGCAACCGAAGCGAATCCGAGGAATAGAGGCAAGCAGAGCGTGGAGGGCGAAGAAGGGATCGTGAGAAACAGGAAGAGGAGGATGAGAAGATTGAGTTTGGATGCAAGGATTGCCTTGCGGCGTCAGCGAAGAATTTCTAACCCGCTTATTTTGAGCGGCTTTGGAAGTCGCGGGACGCCTCCTGTAATACGCGCCTAATGCTTTGGAGGATTTTCTTTTGTTCCGCTCAAAATTAACCAAACAGCTGAATTTAGTAAATACATGTATTTATTTTACTTTACCCTCCTAATTCAGGCAACCAAGCAGACCCTAAAAGTAGGAACCAATACACTCCTCCACTCATCTAACATTGTTTTAATCTTCAAAATAATATTAAAAAGTTTTGTAAGCAAAGAATTCTTTGATCTCCTAATCATTTCCATACATCCATTGGAATATCATCAAGTCCTACTGCTTTTCGCACTTAATTTTCTTTAAAGTTTTGGTTTTACTAATACAACGATAAAAATAAAAATCTCTATTTTTAAGTTTAAAGATATGTATTATGAAGTTTTGACTAGTACTAGAAGTATTTATTGAATGAATAAAGAGTTTGTAAATATGTATTATGATGTTTTGACTATTACTGGAAGTATTTATTGAATGAATAATGAGTTTGTAAATATAATATGATTACTTCAAGGCATACCTGTTAACGGCAAATGGCGCACCATGGCGCAAAGATCCATTTAGAGCCATGGCGCATAGCGCACGGCGTGGCGCGCGCTATTTTGAACATGACGCAAGGTATATAAAAATTATAAAATAATAAGTATAAATATGAAATATTATTAAAAATGAAAGACAGACTATCATAATAATAAATGTTGTTAAAGGAAAGAAATATAATATTGTCCAAGAAACATAATATGGGGTCTGCCGGGGGTCCAAGGGGGCGCTACCCCCTGGCGGGGTTCGACCATACCGAGTGGAAATTAGGGAGAGAAATTTATTTGTAAGAGAAATTTTGAAGTTCGTTTGTATGGAAATTAGGGAGCGGTACCGAGCGTGTACCTAGTTGTACCGAGCTATACCGAGTGGTACAAAGCATGTAACTAGCGGTACCGAGCATGTACCGAGCGGTACCGAGCATTTACATAGCGGTACCGAGTGGTATCATGCATGTACTTAGCTATTTTAAACACATGCGCCTCGCCATGAACATGGCGCCGTAGGTGCGCCGCGCCGCGCCGTGCGCCATGGCGCGCGCTATTTTGCGCCATTGACAGCTATGCTTCAAGAATCAACGTTATGCCAATTTATTTTTGTATTGATTGTGGATGTGTTTATAAATGATATTTATAGTAAGGTGTCTTAGTGTATGACTTTTTGTAAGTAAGATAGTTATAATCAATAAGACATCCACCGAAATAAGCATAATGTTTAAACAATGGAGAAAATGTTTACAGTATACATGGCTTCCAAATAGTAGATTTAAGATTGATTGTCACTTTGTGATATCAGTTATTATCGATCAATATTATTAGAAGATAAAGTGTTACTTAGATGTGATTGTTGAAGATTTTATGATTTATTTTGCAAAGAATGTGGATATCACTTACAGAGTTATGGTTGGATGATTAAAATGGAGAATTACCTTAAGAGCATTATGAGATAAGAATATATCATAGATATTTGAAGTTAAATTTTATAAAACTACTATTGGGATGGTGATTTATATGAATTCGAGTGTTGGATAATTAAGAAAAATCATTAGTATATAGGTTCATCGTAATAGAAATAAGAATGCTAAGATGGGTGTGTGATAAAAATAGGAATAATGAATTAAAAAATGGTTATATTAGTAGAATCATTTGAGTAGAATCATTTGAGTAATAACTATTGAAGATAAGATAGTTGAAAATATTCTTCAGTTTTTGGTTATGCACAACGGAACATAGAAAATGCACCATTGGACAAGTATATAAAATTAGTGATAAAAGATTATAAAAAGGGGTAGATCTAAAAGATAATATGAATAGAAGTTGTTCAACATAATTTATGAACATGAACGATGATAAATGAAGATTCATAAACTTGGTCCCAAATAGTTGGGAAACAACTAATGATGATGATTTGCATGCATATATGGTCAAATCATCTTCAAATATCCTAAAGTTTACTTCATATTAGTTCTTTAGTTATGAATTAAGTGGTGAGTCTTTATTATCTAATTGGATGTTGCATTAGTTACAATAACCATAATAAACAAATGCATGGAAAACTCTCTCTCTCATGTGTGTGTGCATGCGTATATCCATGCGTACACATGCATATGTAAGATGATGGTGTTAGATTGATTTTTCACTTGCAATATTCAAATGGTAAATAGCGGATGTTCATGCTCATCTTATACAACATTTGGTGCATATAGGAATGAACATAGCTCCACATAGGACATGAAAATACCACTATTGATGATTTAGTTAGCGAAAATATTCATTTTTTGTTTTATGAGAAATCAGATTAATTGAAGTGAATCCAGAGGTTTTGATACTTCAAAAACTAGTTAAAATGTCATTATCAATTAATGCTTTCATAAAAATGTCTAACTTGTTTGTATGTGGTAGATCAAGGTGCGTTTAATCTGTTTTGTTTAATGCAGAACAGAACATAAAATGGCACTAGAGAAAGGAGAAAGGTGGGAGGAGGGAGATCCTTGTTAACTATTCGGGTAAAAAGAATACATGTGGTCATTTGGCATTTTGGTTCTTTGTATTTCAACCCACCATTATGTTTTTGAATTTTTTATACATCTTTTGACCTAAAAGACTATTAGGAATATTTATCTACTATTTCATGTTACCCAGACCACTGAGTGTTGTGGGAGGTTGGATTATAAACAAGGGGTAGGATGTGGGAGTGTTTGTTGGAAAACCCCTACCTCTCAACCCGAGCAGCATGGGGGGAATCTTTTATTATTATTTTTTTAAGGGACTAGAATGTTTAAGTAGCCAACAAACAATACCTCGCTGGTAGGAATGCTTATAAAGTACTAGAAAAAGGCTCCTAATGCTATAAAAATTAATAAATTACTTAAAGCATCTAATAAGTGTTGGGTATGCTTTTTGATATTGTTTAAGTGCCTGAAATGATCATGTTTGAGTGGGCATGCTTCCTTCTTTTGTTAATCATGCAGTAGGTAAGGGTGGGCATCAACACTCCTACCAGTGAGGGTTGTTCAAGGTTTGATTAGAAATATGTAACTGAGGATATAGAAGGTGGTATCGTTTGTTGGCAAATCCCTACCTCCCAACCCATCCCGCATGGGGAACTTTCTTTTTAGGACTTGAAGTAGCAAAAAAATAAAGACTCCTATACACCATAAAAAATAGTAAATTATGTGAAGCACCTAAAAATTTGTGGTATGCTTTTGATATTGTTTAAGGTTCTGAAATAAACATCTTTGAGTTGATATGCTTCAATCTTTTGTGATGTTCTCTTTTTTGCTTATGAACAACGTAAAATCTATTCGTGCCATCTTTCTCTTCACTTTTTGCTGTTGTAGTTCTTTTCATCATATTGCTCTTGTTTCTCAGGGTTTTGAGGAGATGCATGGATTGGCTCTGAAATTTATGCGGTTAAAATCAAGCAGTGTTTCCAATGGTTTGATGAGGCTTTTGATTGGCATTCTTGGAGAAAATACGGAGGTAGTATTAGAATTTTTTACGTTCTGCTTTTAGGATTATTTGTTAGTTTGCTTCTTAGGTGGTTCTATGTATATTTAAGTGCATATAAAGTGCTCTATCGTTCAGGTTGTTATGGCAGAATGCTCTAAGTCATTTGGACCATGGTAAGCTAGGAAATGTATGTGTACATTATTATTTTTAAAAGTTAGAAATATGGCATATGTTTTCTTGTTATTTTCTGCATTATCTCACAAATAAATACTATTTATTCCCCTTTAGGATGGTTACCCATTCTGCAGAGTTACTGACAGCTGATAACAATCAAAATGAGATTCTTCTGCATGAGGAGAGGTACAACTTGGGTGGTATCAGCATAGTGGAACTGCACCGCCTTGTCTATTGTCAAGTTTTGGCTTCTCATCCATTGACTTGGCAAGTATGTTAAAATAATCTGCTGATGCATTTAGTAAAATGCTTCAGAATCTTTTTTTAAGTTATATAAGCAAATTGTTCGGCATGTTGGTATTCAGTTGCATTTATATAATAACCAAGTTTGTTGTAACTTTGAAATTAAAAAAAAAAAACAAATTTGTTGTAACTTTTATTTGTTTATCTGCAGATGAGCAGTTATTAACATAATTTTGGAAATTGACATATATTGCTTTGTTTAAACAATGCTTTCAAAGTGCTAAATGCAATGTTATGCAAAAAAAAAAAAATTTTCTTTGATGTACAGAACTTTCTCTCTCTCTCTCTCTCTCTCTCTCTCTAATGAGAATATTATTACATTTAATTAATCAAATTTAACCTACATTAGGTGGTGATTTTTAACAAATATAATGGTGTATTCAATAACAATTATAAAGTAGAAAATATGAATTATTTAATAAATGACTTAAAACTTGATGTAAAAGTAAAAATAAATATGACGGGTTATGATGTGTAAGAATTGCCAAAAGAGTAGAGCTGTGTAGCAGTTTGATGTAAAATGTTAGAACTTCAAGTTTGCTTGGCAAAATTAAAAGTGAAAGTTTAGATTAAAAAATGCATATTTAGTTCAACACAAAATGCTAAGTGAAATGTATGAAACTTCAAGTCTCATAAAGCAACCCAAGGGAAATAATTATCCATCATATCTTTTATTTACATATTTTCTTTTTCCTTCATGTAGAATTTTTTCATCTTCAAACATTTATCTTCTAGTTAGTTAATCTAGTATTCTTTCTAAACAGCAAATGTGCGGGTTCAGTTAAATTGGCTCTTGTTGTTAATGAATTTCACCTTGTTTTTGACTTAGTAAATCTTACATAATACTTTTGTTCAACTTCTAGCGATGTTTATACAATTATTCTTCAAGATAGGTTTTCATTACTTAAAAGTTGTCAAAACCCTCAATTTCTCCATTTATTCAGTCATAACTTTCTATAAACATTAAGTCATTTAGATGCTCTTAACCCAAGTGATTTCTCTTCTTCGGATGAATCTGTACAAGAGAAATTGAAATGAAATTTACAAAACCTGTGTATTATTCAGCATATTTAAAATTAACAAATTATTAACATGCTTGAAGGTACTCATGTCCTCTCACAGCCGGCAGTATTGCAAGCCAAGTCTAAATTATTAATTCTCAATCTTATATGGCTAGTGTTGATGCACCATATACTTCTGTATTAAATTATAATATTACATTTAAGGAAAAATAAAACTTGTACCAATAAAAAAGGCTGAAGATTTTAAAATTTTTAATTAATGATTCTACCTGGAGATTTCTTATCTTTATTGCAAATCGGCAATAGACATGATTGTAAATAGAGAACTCTTGATTTATAACCATTTTCTCATGTGGGTGTCCCACGTGCCAAACATTGCATGTAAAACCCTCCATCAATTTTCCATCTTATATTTTAGATTTATTCCTCAAAAATAACATTGGGGTTAATATGGTAGTTGGATTGATGCAATGGTCGGCGGAGTTGACATCTCCATCTTTCATCAATTATATGACAGACTTGCTCATATTTTTTCATCTCATATGTTATGGTTCTCTTCTCCTTTTATTCTATTGATTAAACTGTCAATGCAACTGGGCATCTATGCTAAACTCAGAAGAGCTGCACATTATTCGATAGAAGATGCATCATGAAGAAAATCACAGGACTTCCTTTCTTATCCTTGTGAGAAGCTTGTGATGTGCGACTCCTTCACATCACACTTCTCCTCCTTTCAAGCACGCTTCATTTCAAACTTTTAATTACCCTAAGCTAAAATGACTTAACCGTTCTATAAAAAATCTTTTTTGATAAGTTGCATTTCGTTTGAATCCACCTTCTAATTAGGCCACAAAATACCTCATTCTAGATTTTATATATACACAATTAATAATTCAATAGGCCTTTGGCCTTCTTTGCCAGCTAAATTGCATTCACTATCTTGCTTGAGATTCAAATATGAATGCTCTCTTCAGTTTTCTGAGTCAATCCTTTAGTGAAGTTGCCTTAAGTTTAATGCTAGAACTCCAGATTTTCTTATGAATTGGCATCCCTTTTCATTGAGGAAAAAATTTCTAGAACTTGTATAAATGTAAAATGTATTTCTTATTATTTTGCTCTCATGTTTTTTCAGGGGCAAGGGATAGTTTTGTCCATCTTCAAGCTTCTTTAAAAAATGTAAATACTAATGCAAATGCCATTAGTATGCTAAAGTATGTAAACAAATATTATTAAAAGGAAACATGACTTTCATATTTGGCATTACCTGCGTGGAAACTCATTGATCAAATTGAAGGATACTAACATTTATTTTAAAAGCTGATAAACATAATTAATTTGTTTTTACTTTTAGTATTATTGAGTTACTTGGCCAAATAACGGATTATTGAAGTTAGCATCTAAGTAAAATTATAATATTAAGATAATGAAAGATAACAACATATAATGATGACATGTGAACAACACAAAATATTTAGTAGATTGCTTATCTGGAAAAATTTTACTATGTTCGTTGAAGTATTTTCAAAATACAAAGCGCAATGCAATGCTCAAGACTTCTTTTTGGCTTAAGTTCACAAAGTATAAAATGATATGATGCTTCTACTAACTAAAATTTTCGTGAGTTGTGTGTCATATGTACATGTCCTAGTTATCTAATTAACTAAATTTAAATCATATCAGGTGATAATTCTGCAATAAATATAATGATACGCTCAATAATAATTTGTAGCTATTTGAAAGCTAAAAAAATAATTAAAATATAAATGACATAAATAATGAGGTGATGTAAGAATATATCTTAAAATTAAGAATATACTTGTGAGTTTAAATGACTAGCTAGATATCAAGAGATAGGTAATAATGTGAAGCAAGAGAGTGTTTATGAAGATAAGACATTTAGAGCATTCTTGATAAGAAGCAACTGAGTGAGAAGCTACTAGCGCCAACAATTGTATCTAGTTATTTTGGTAAATATTTAACCAAATCATGAAGTATGAACTGGGATTTTGTTATGAGTAGGAGCCAAGCTCACATCACTAAGGAGTGATGTGGTGAGGAAGTGCAAGATGCTTGATTTGTTAGGAGCTTACACTGCACGATAAAGTAATGCATAGGGTCAATGCATCACTTCATTTCACACCTTAACTGCATTTTGCAGTGTGCTATTGACAACATTGGTCTGTTGTGAGTTTAATTGGTTTGAGCCTTACTCGAACAGCAAGTATTTATACTATCAGTGGTGGGATTATTTACCATGCTGGATATCAAGGATTAAGTTTGGCTTCTTTTCTAATAACCTTGCTTATGTGTTAATGGAGAGCTGGATTTTCCTGTAAATAAAAAAATAATTGAATCTTAATTTTATTATGACTTTTTTCATCCTAAATGGTTTGAGCCTTACTCGAGACCAACCATTTAAAAAGCTTTTGAGGCGATAGCCTTGAGGCGTGCCTCGAGTCGAGGCGTTAACTGGGTGAACTAAGGCGTAAGCCTCGGTTGTTCGGACAAAACGCACGCTTTTTTCATTTGAGGCGTACGCCTCAGGGCGCGAGGCGTCGAGGCGAAAGAGGCACTGCCTCGAATCATTTTGTTCGCCAGTCATGCGTAAATAGAGCTTAGGGCTTCTTTTGTAAGCATTTCCGCCGCTCCCTCTCCTTCATTCCCTGTTTTCTCTCTTTTGCTTGTTTTCCTCCTCTGACTTGGACAACAAAGTTTGATCGAACGTGTGATTCCTGCTCGTTCTCTCGTTTGCTCGTTTGCTCGTTTGCTCATTCTCTTCCTCCCGTTCGGTCGTGTGACCCCTGCTCCCGCCGACTTTCCCTAACGACGACTTCGACTTCGAATTTGACGAGATCCACGACTTCGACGATTTCAAGTTCGACAACATTTGTTTCCTGTTTTCTTTTTCCTATGTCGTGTTCAACAAACTTCGAGTTGACGACTTCGACAACTTTCATTCCCTGTCTTCTTTTTCCTGCGTCGTGTTTCTTCCTGCATCGTGTTCAACAAACTTCGACGAGATCCACGACTTCGACGACATCCAGGACTTCGACGACTTCAGGTTCGACGACTTCGCTCTCGGTCGTTCGTTCCCTGTTTTCTTCCTGCGTAAAGAAGGTGTAAAAGTTCCTGATGATGTTCCTGAATTAAAAGCTTTTGCAGTTAAAGTTCTTAGCCTAACGTGTTCGGCTTCTGCATGCGAGCGTAATTGGAGCATTTTCAATCAAATTCATACAAAGAGGAGAAATCGATTGGCGGCAGATCGAATGAACAAACTAGTTTATGTTATGTTTAACAAAAAATTAAAAGATAGATATCTCAAATTGCAGAATCAAGGAAATATTGAGAATGAAATTGATCATTTACTTGTTGATGAGTTACAATCTGATGATGAATGGGTTACTCCTAAGAATGCTGATGTTTCTGAAGTTGAAGTAGAATGAGAAACTCATGTCAATGAAGAAGATAATGAAGCAACTGCCCAAGTATATAAAAGAAGAAACTTACTAAGATTGAAGCTTCAAAAAAATTCAAAGGTATTCTTAAATATAATGAATTATTTTGTATGTTACTATTGTTTCATTTTAGAGTTAATGAAATATTAATTGATATATGAGATAAAGGAAAAAATATTATAGATGAAGAAGAGTTTGAGGATGACTTTGACATTAATTATGAAGATTCTGAAGACAATCAAAGTGATGATGAGACTGCTTTGGGTCTTGATCCCAAGAGGATGTTTTATTTTTAAGTGAGTTTATTTTAAATCTTGTATTCCAGTAATATTATCTTGAAACAAATCTTCAAATTCATAGTTGACATAATATTTTGTTATTTTTGTCATTATTTATAATTTTAAATTAATTTATTTTATTCATTTTGAGGCTTACGCCTCGATCCGCCTCGAGGCTTATGCCTCGCCTCGCTTAGAAAAAACGCCTCGATTCCCGATTTTGCCTTTTAAAACCTTGCTCGAGACGGCAATTATTTATACTATCAGTGGTGGGATTATTTACCATTCTGGATGTCAAGGATTTTGTTTGGCTTCTTTTCTAATAACCTTGCTTATGTGTTAATGGAGAGCTGGATTTTCCTGTAAATAAAAAAAATAATTGAATCTTAATTGTATTATGACTTTTTTCATCCTAAATGTTTCTGTTATTTCCATTGGCTGATTGCTTCGCATTTATTACTAGTGCATTTGAGATTTATGTGTGAATTTAATGGCCTGTTTATTTCTCTTTAAAAGGATAGCTGAGTGCGGAACTCCTGACAAACAAAACACTTGTTCAGTGTGCAATTTGCATGAAATGGTATGATGTGGATTTTTATGGGTTAGAATGTAATAGATAGAGCATGCCAACACCTTGTGGTATATGGAGTTAACTCGTAAAACATTGCATAAGTGTATGGGTTGTTTCTTCCATACATCAATGATGAATATGATGAAATACTCATTGTAATTACACTTTTAATATTCCTAGTTTTTTCACTATGTAATGTAAACCTATGTTCCAATTTTGTTCTTGCCCAAATATTTTCCTATGGACTCAGAAACAGACAAAAAATAATCTATGATTAATGTTTTATTTGTCATTTCGGATGCATTGTCTCATCTCTTTCAGGTTGCACCTACGTACTTGGTTTCTTGTCCTAAGCAAGGATTAGGCTTGTTAGAGATTTTACTGTCCAAACAACCCGTACAAAATTATCCAATGATTCTCAAGGTGATTGAATAGATCATAAAAGGTTTACCCTTTTCTCTGTGCTTGTAAATGTAATTGATACGTTTTATTTCTTAATGTGGCTTGTGTCCTCTTACAGAATCTGGAGATCTGCCAATTAAATGAGCTTTATGGGATTTCTTCATGTGTTAAGAAGGTAATTGTGGCTAATGATTTGCAGGTTCATATGGTATTTTTTTCTCTTAGCCGTCCAGAGAAATGGTGTGGGTTCAAATCCCTTCAAGAGTAATCATAACCATTTTCCTTATTCTCTCTCTCTCTCAATCAATCAATCTATCTATCTATCTTTTGATCTTTATCTTTCTCTATTTTTATCTCCCATCTTTGCCCCTCAATATGGATATCTTAGAAATTTGCAGCGGAAATTTGTTTGCCAGAGGAAAGTATAATTTATCAATAGATGTTGATCTTATTCTCTATTACATAATGGGACAGATTGCTGGCATGCACCAATGGAAACATGGGAGAAAAGGTTCTGGAGTCTATTGGCTCCAGGAAGCTCGTGATGAAGCTAGGCTTAACCGAATTGCTCAACAGCTATTTGAATGCATTGGGAGATCAATCTCCGATGAAACATTTAAGGTGCTTACTAGTTGGTGGGATTGCATATTTTCTTACTTCTCAAGTATATAAAGAAAAATATGGTTGCTAATACCTTATTGATTGATTTCTTTGAACTTTTTTTTTCTGATTTCTATAATCATCATTTTCAGCAATGGGAGGGACTAATTGAACTGCTTGGTTCTGATGTTGGGACTGCTGGGGGGGTTGGATTTCTTCACAGGTATTATTTGTGTTTTAAAATTTAATTACTTCACCAATTTGAGGATTTTTATTTTATTTTTTCATCATCCTCTGAGTTTGTTTCAGATATCGAGATTTTAAGAGATCTCTGAGACAGGTGAAAAATGGAAGGCCCACCCGTGCAGCTCGACAGACCGTTGAATCACTCATACAGGTAGGAATATATGGTCTTGATATTTTATTTTCATTATTGGTTACACCTGGACAATTACGCATTTTGTTAGTTTCTTTTTTTGATAAGTGCATCAGTTTATGGGTTTATGACATTACTGGTTAAATATACTAGTTTTGTTTCTTTTTTTTCTAGACTTCCTCAAAAGTGTATCAGCACTCATTTGTTTCTAATATTTATTTATATGGGAAGACATTTTTTTCCCGTTGGTGTGTTCTACCCATAAGTTTGACGAAGTTTGGGCTGACCCTCTGATTAAGGTTATGTAATACATTAGTTCTATTTTGTTAGCTCGTTTAGTTCAGTTCCTTCTAGTTCTATTCTTTTGAATTAGAATAACTAGGCAACCAGTTATGTGGATTGACAAAGATGATTTGAATGAGAAATCTGGTTCATTGCGCATAGAGCTTACAAGGGATTATTTGAATTGATTGAGGATGTATGTTTCCTGAATATGTAAATCCTAGATCTAGTTGAGTTCGCTAGTTGGATCCCATGATCATCTAGTCGATCCCACCTGCTCATTCAACCGTCTTCTTTTTTATTCCATTTCCCCCCAATGGTTCCCATCCACAATAATGTGAAACCCAGCTCAGTGTGGCATGTGGCAAACTGGCAATGTAGAGCCCATCTAGAGATGGATTCCACATGCAACCTAGCATAACCAGATACTGAAAGTTTTCTATACCTAACAAAACTTTCCATGAATCAATATTTTAAATTTGCTATGCATCTTAGCACTGAGAAAAGTATGGAACTATTTAATGGGTTAGAAACCATTATAGTTCTTAAATGTGAGGGCTGTTGGACCTCAACAAAATTTGATGTACCGACTTCTATTTTTACCTTTATTATTGTAAATTTTAAGTGCCATCAACCGGTTATGAAGGAAGACCATGTAGCCCTTTGTTTTAGTTCAACAGCACATAAGTTGTTTTTCACTGGCTGAGTTTGTTTGTGGCTAGTTTTAATAACATTCAAAATAGGATAAATGTTGTTTATTAACTAATTTAGAGGCATACATCCAGTGTAAATGCATTAGTTAATATTTTGACCCATAAATAACTTAAATTGAACCCAAAGATTACAATTCATGTGCTGCAAGAAGTAGTTTATTGCTTTTTCTATTGCAAAAGGCTTTTAGTTCCAAATAAGCTGATTGCTTCATATGTTTCGACCCTGGAAAATGATAAAAAAATCTTGTTTAGTTAATCATCTATATGGAAAACAATCCACCCCAATTAACGGATTAAATTAGTCAACTGAAGGAGCTTCAAGCTCCAGGCTAATTGATCAAAAGCTTTGTTTATTTTGTGCTCAATCATTAATCACGTGAATGTAAAATAACACGAGTTTATGCTTGTATACACAATGCTAATGGCAACAACCAAAAGCCCTTGTACCCTTTATTGAAGGTTAAGGATTTGAATCTTCCCAAATCAAATTTAGTGAGCTTATAAATGAATATTATTAAGGAAGGAAATACACATGATGAAACTTATTGATAGGTTAAAACTCTGGTCAATGAATTTAATCGAACTTAATTCTTCAACGGATAGGAAAGTTCAAATATAGAGTATAGCGGTTGGTGGATTGTATGCCTAGAAAGGAAAATTTTGGAACAAAGATGGCCCAAGTAAAGAGAAGATAATGCTAAAGCAAGCTCTGATGAAAAAACTTTTTTGCGCCTGTGACAAAATTGTATAACGTAATTATAAATGTTCTTGTTGTTTTGCCGGATATTAACTGTGATCTGGCATATGAAGATGACCATTAACAAATATCATCATGAACTATAATTGACTAATGCTCAATCTTAATTTTTTACTGTTTATTAGTTGAACCAAGCTTCTGTCAAGTGTTAAAGCTTGTTAATCTTGCCATGAAAACATCAAGATAGACAAGCGATTATTATGACCACTTCTTAAACTCTTGCCCTAATACCATAGCAATTGTTTTGATCAATTTTTCTTGCACTCTTTCCCTAATAACATCTAGTTTCATCTGACAAAAAACATTTACTTAGCATGGGATTTGGACAATTGGCTTGATTTTATCAGTGCGCTTCTGCATGAATATTATGAGCATTTTCTTTTGAAATTATGCTCTTGAAAAGCAACTGGGATTCATTCTTTTTGTGTGATTGGTGCAGCTTATGAAGAGTCCTTATACACCTCAGCGATTCTGGCTTCCTCTTCTTCATGATGTGGTTAGTATTGCACAAGTATAAATGATGTTATTCCCCTTTCATGCTATCTGTTGGCCAGTGAAGTTGGACGGCATGTGGAATGAGCTTAGAATATTGATTGTTACAATATGATTTCTATAAAATAGAATGCTTTGATTCTGTTAAAATTACAAGCTTCATATTAAAGTTTAAAATCCAAGTTCACTGTCATTGTTTAGGAACTCAAACTATTGAAAATGATGCTTTCCTTATTCAAAAGTTGGACACTATTCAATTCTATTTTACTAGTAGAACTCAACTATTTGATCTGGTGAAATCTTTAAATAATAAAATTGAAACTAACATTTAAGTATTATTTTGATGCGATTTAGATGTCTGTCAAATTTGTCATCATTTACATGTTGGCCTATATGATGGCTCATATAATTGACAATATAAATAAATATCATAATCATCATTCAACATCCTAGATATAAGTTACATTATTTAAGATAACATCTAACCGAATATACTGCATTTGGTAGATAGCATTTTTATCCAAAGAATACTATGATCTAGATAACATGGAAATGTCGATAACATCCAACCAGATATCCTTCTAGTACATACTCAACATAAGTAAACTACCAAAAAGTAATGGCCATGCATTATGTAATTCTAGTCATGCACGCCTTCTTAGATTCTTTTTTTCTATGGGTGCTTTATTGGTTTTTTATTTTTCTTGTTGCTAAGCATTAATCACTCAATAATTTGGTGCTTTTAGTGAAATTTGTTTTTTTTCTTTTGTTTTGTAGAACTTCTAATTCATGCACCAAACAATTGGAAAAGTTTTTTTTTTTTTTTTTTTTTTTGTGCCATCAAAGTGGAAATATGCTTTAAATATATGTTTGGGGCTCAATTTGATTTTGTTCTAAGATTCTTATATAGAGTTCCTATTTTAGTTTTTTTTTATTTGGACTCTAGTGTAAGTGTAGTTGATATTTTGTTTCAATTTGGCTGAAATTTTATAGCCCGTGTTACTATTGCGCTATATGAAAAATGTGAGAATAATTCCATTTAGAAAAATATTAGAATAATCCCAATTAGTGGCAGATTTTTTTTCTCTTTACCTGGCTATTAAAGTATCCTTGTTTTGAATTATTTTTATTATGAATTTCCTAGAATTTAAGTTTCCTTTTCCCACTTGTAAATCCAGATTTGATTTGTTTGAATAAAATCAATTCTTTATTATTGATGATTATTTATCAATATATTTTATTAGTAATTTTCTATATTTTAAATTTTAGGATGATTTTTATCTTTTGAGTTTATTTTGTCTTGTTCTTAATGTTTTTAAGTGTAGAGCCAACTTAACATCTTAATGATAGTTAAGATTAGATAAAATTTTTGACTTAAGTGGATCAATGGGTTTACTAAATGAAGTCTACCCTTTAGCTTGTGTCTAGCCTTATGGGTTTGGAGCCTACTTTGACAAGCATTCAAACTTGTTCAAATCATTATCAAAGAGAACCCTCAGAAGGTTTGACAAAATTTACATGATTTGTCCACTAGTCTTATAAGAACCTCCTAACTGAACTACATCTTGCACAAGATGGATTTAAAGAGATTTTACTCTCAAGTCAATGGCTTAAAAGTTTTCTACAAGAAGATTCCAGTCTATAAGAGTTCTCATGAGCTCATTCGTGAAGGTAGATAAAGATGATAGATTATTTGTTGTATCTCACAAGTAGTCATCTCAACATCATGTTTGTTGTTTGTGTGCTAGATTTTAGGAGAATCCCAGGTAATCTCATCTAGTTATAATCAAGCGAATCATTAGATATGTTTTAAGCTCACACAGTTTAGCCTTACTGTATTCTAAAATGAACTCTCTCATGATCTTGTAGTTCTTGTTGATACAAACTTTTCCAGTTATGAAGTTGATCAGAAAGCTCTTTAAAAATTTGCCAATTCTTTTCACTTGTGTCTTGGTGAAGCAGGAAGCAATTTTTTTTTCTTTTCAATCCATGATATGTCGATGTATGTAGTTGTGTGGCATGCAATTTGGCCAAGGCTTAACTAGAGACTAAAGTCGGTCCACATCATAATTAAGTATTAATGCTTCAACACTTTCAAACCAACCAAGCACATTGAGATTAGACTTCACTTTATACAGGAGCATACCTATGTGAATGGTGGAAACTTTGCTTCCTGGGGTAATCCAAGAAGGAAGTCAGAGTTCAACGGTTCAGATAGACAAAGATGAGTCCAAAGGACAAAAAGAAGAGGGGAAAGATGAAAAGACAAGATAATGAAGAGAAGTAGAGGGGGAAGATGAAAAGACACAATACAAGAAAAAACTTAACTTATGTTGACCCCCCCTTTGCATACATCAGAGTTCAACGGTTTAGATAGACAAAGATGAGAATGTATTATTTGTAGTAGAGACAATGACAAGAAATGATTACAGAGATAATTGACAAAGATTTATATTGTTCAATCTATACTTATACTTCAGCCAAGGCAATTGATCTACTATAATGAGAATATAGTAAAACAGTAATTCAAGGTGTCCATGTAATTTTCTTGAGAATGTTGAGAGGAAGAGAAAGGAGAGGAAATGAAATTACCATAGCTATGAGTTACACTGGAGAGGAAATTACATTATACACGATAGTTACATCAAACAAGAAGTAAATAGAGCATTTTGGCCGTGCTTAGACCTTTAGAGACATTGACAGAAAGATCTTTATGGATTTTATGAAATGTACTAAATATAGTCACCAATCTTTGTCATCGGGCTTCAATGCAATTGATGAGAAGTGAGAATCATCAAAGGGTTGTAGTTAGAGTTGTAGCAGAGGAGATAAGTAGAAATTGAGAATTGAATGACAACGTCAATTACTCAGGTTTTGAAACCCATAACGAATCCTTGTGTTGGGTTAAAAAAATAAAAATAAATAAATTATATATATATATATATATAGTTGTGCGTAACTCTTCATTTTATAGGCTTGCATCAATTCTAATGATGTGTGTGACAATTCAATACGATAGCATGGAGAGTAACTGTGTAGGTGCTTCGGGACAAAGCCAAGAATAGAACATTAAATATGGCTGCCGAATTCTAACATCTCGAAGTACTTTGCTGGTGGTAAATGGGTTGAATGGGTTCGCACTTTTGAAAGTTGATGGCATGTCAAAAGAGGTTTCTTATTGGATGTGCAATGTGCACTTTAAACATCTTTTGAATTTATCAATTCTAATCACACATAACGTATGCAAACTAAAGCCAAGTGAGTTCAACAATAAAATTAGGTATGCGCGAGTTAAATGTATATAATGAAATTAAACATCGCACAAGACTAGTTAGGTGTATGCTTATAAGATTGTGTGCATCTATGATATTACTTTCAAGCTTAAACTGGATAAATTTTCACACCAACACAAACTATATTAACTATGTCAATTTACACGAAAGTTATCAAACTAAATTCAAGCACAAAGCATGATGATCTATAGATATATGCTTATACAAGTGTTTTACATAATGCAAGCACTTATAAATTTTACTCTACAACACTAAGCACGTGAACCTTTATATCATTTTCCACCAAGTAATTTAGCCAAGTGATATATGATGTTAAATAAGTGTAATTAATGCAAATCTATATAGATCTATGAACATATAATTATTGTATGGTTCAGTCAACCTCAAGACCTACATCTACGCCTTGCGAATGTCCGGATTAGGATTTTGCTACTATGTGCATCAATTACACCTCCTTCAATTAGTCGGAGAAGTCCCAACAATTTATCCTTATGGGCAGTCTTTGAATCTAAATTAGATCATTTAACATATTGAGTTGCATGGAAAGAATTTGATATAATATTAATTAAGCCTGAATTTAGCAAGTATATAATATTTTGTATATTAATATTAGTTTTAACAAATTAAATAAGCTCCAAAAACACTAAAATAAAAAAAAAAAAAATCTTATAAAAAAAATTCTAGATCTATCATGATAATTCATGTGGTCTAAATTTACTAATTTTTTAATTAGCATAATAATCATAATTAAATTAAATACAAAAAAAACGTGATATAAAAGGCTCCTAGAGATCAAGTTAAATTGTCGCTAACATGAAGAACAATAGGAATGGGATGGAGGAATACTTTATAATTTTTCTTTGAAAAATTTGAACTTGTTCTCCAAGTTTCATTTTCTCAATGGATTTCTCTTTTGCTTTGGTAGCGGCCACGATTTAAAAAGCGGTCGAGGCGTGCGAACAGAGGCGCGACTCAGTTCGAGGCGCTAACCCGGCGCCTTGAGGCTTAAGCTGCAATGTATTTGATGAGGCGTGCGATTTTTTTCAGCGAGGCGTACGCGTCGAGGCGTAACGCCTCGAGGCAGCGTGAGGCGACCCTCATTAGGATTCGACGGAGCTCACAGCGAAGAACAAATTCCTTATCTTTCGGCTTTCTTCCTTTGCTCATGCAGGTAATGGGCTTCCAGTACAGCTTGGTACCGAGCAGTACATGCTCGGTACCGAGCGGAAGATAGTTGACATAATATTTTGTTATTTTTTGTCATTATTTATAATTTTAAATTAATTTATTTTAATCGTTTTGAGGCTTACGGCTCGATCCGCCTCAAGGCTTACGCCTCGCCTCGCTTAGAAGAAACGCCTCGATTCCCGATTTCACCTTTTAAAACCTTGGGTAGTGGTATTTATTGCCCTCAATGATCCCTTAACTTATATGCAAATTATATGGGAGAAGTCTTCAAATTAGATTCCAATGGCCAGCACAACACAAAAGAAATGTCCAATGACTAATTCCTGTTAAAACAACTTATCAAATTGAAAAACGTTAATATTTTGCAAAATCATATTTTTTTTAATTTTATCATAATACATGCATTTCAATCCAAATAAGGGCATATAACATATGAAATCACATAGAAAGAATGGAGTAAATACAATAGAACATGAATTAATAAATATAAAATAATTTCTTCACTAATACTATTTTAACAAGGTGATTTTCAAGAGGCACTAGAAAGCAAGCCCAAGGGTGCGAGTGAGGATGTTGATACAAGCGCTATGGTCGGTGCAATGAGAGAACGGATGAGCGTGATGAGCGGCAATGGGCTCACATTGCCTCCGTGAGCCGTAATCCATGGCAAATGGACGTGGTGAGCCACAGTGTGAGGGTGATCTCTTAAAGCTGAGCTTATGTTCCTCGAAAGATCATTCACATAATTTAAGTTGGGAGAGAAAAGGTTTAATAATTTTTTGGTCCAAATGCTTTTCTGGCTAACTCTATTAGGTTGGGGATTAAATAAATATAGTGAACCATCTTCTCACCTATATCTATGAATTAGACCGATAGGAACCTCTTTAATCAATTGCAATCCAATGTGCTCCTGGTCCAATTGCTACTCCTAGCTATCTCATACTCATCGCTCCAGCGCAAAGATCTAACTATTTCTGGTACTTAAGATGCTCATAACTTGTTTCTGGTGGATTGCGCCAAAATTTTGCATAATAGTGATTAATCATAATTCAATGGCGATTAATTCTTTATCACAGATTATTTGGTTTGTTCTTTGTATATCATTTAAATTGCTCTTTGTTTCCTTTTATGAACGAAAAAGTCTTCACCAGTTGTTCCTTTTTTCTTATTCTAAACAAATCGTTCATTTCTGGATTCACTCATTAATGATTTAGATCATAATAATGACCAAACCCTCCTTTATCATTTCAGGTTGAGTTGTTAAATTGGAAGGATCAACCTCTTCTGAATGTTTCTGAAACCAACTTCTTGTTGAAGAAACTGCAAGAGCTATCCATGGCGCAGTTATGTCCAGAGTTCTCTCAGACCTATTTGCCTCCCGAAGCGCTGACCGAAATTAGGCTGGCCCTCGCCACAAATCTGTCCCGAGCTTTTCTTGAAGAATGATTAGTATTAAGTTGATATTATGATAAAATTAAAAGTTTCATAGGTTTGTGTTTTCTTCAATCATTTTGCCATTCCGTGCTATCATCTTAAGCCACTCTGATATTGCAGACTACATGATTTAAATTTTGTCTAACTGTATAAGATTTCCAGCTTGTTCCTACTATGTCTAAATGTCCTAAACCATATTTTAGAATGTTTTGCATCAGTTGAAACCTTTTGGACTGGTCTTTTTGCAGTGTTATTGTGATTTTTAGCTTTGATTGTAAATGTTTATTTCATTTATATGGTTAATGATATTTGAAATTAGGGAAATATGTTTTATATTTTGTTTCTTAGGAAATTATATTTGAAATTTTTCTTTGGATCAAAATACTCAGACTGGTTTGCAGGTTATTATTTTTAGTATGTTTAGATTAAAATTGATTCAAATAAGTTTCGAACAATCTTTGATCAAAGTTATGACAATATCTGAGAAAAAATTAGTCATATTTGAACATTGTTTGAACCATATTTGAATCATATATTTTAATTTTAAGATAAGTTAATGCATGTTTCGAAAAATTTTGAACAATGCTTGATTATAGCTTTCTAAAGTGTTTGGCCAAACAGAGCATAATTCAATGCTTCTATTACATCATAATTAGAAATATAAAATCATTGCACAGCATCTATAAATTACTTTAAAACAATTAAATACAATCACTATATGTATAATGAGTTATGACAATATTGTCAATTTCCTCATTGGAGTAATAATTATAAATAAAGAATGAGTGTTTGCAAAATGAAGAAGGCCTTGTTTGCAAAATGAAGAAGGCCTATAGGTCTTTTATTTTATTTTTTTATTTTTTTTTATGGCCTATAGGTCTTTACCCTTAATATACTTCAATTTAACTAAATTTTTTATTACTTATATTTCTTTATTTGATTATCATATATATTCCATCCTTTTTAATATTTAATCCATTATATAAGTTATTAAAAGTTAAAATATTTATATCTTTTGTATTCTAACCATATGTTTTGCAATACTTGTAATATCATTAGTTTTTTTTTTTTTACATAACATTATCTTCATTATGCAAATAAATTTTTAAGATTTAAAGCTATTCTTAAATATATTTTTATTAATATTTTTTAAATGTCCCTTTTTAATTTTAGAACAATATTTCATCATATTATTTTTAATTTTTTATCATTTAATCATAAAATTTAAAACTAATAAGTGATATTAAGTATATAAATTTTCACCTAAAATAACTTTATAAAATTTACAATCTAAACGATTTATTTTTTTATAAGAAAATAATCAATTTAAATTTTGTTATATTCATTCTTAAGCGATGAGATGCTCATATCTTTTCTTAAATAACATATTAGGAATCACAAAATCATAAGCTAAAAAAAATCTAATTTAATCTTATCACTATCATTAATTGCTCCAAACTTATAATCACCATAAATGCCTTTAAAATCATTTTTTTAACTCTCTCCCAAATATAAAAATCATAAGATAATACCAGTAATCATAAAAAATTTATTAGTTACAAAAAATTTACAAATAAGAACCATTTATAAGTTATGTGCCTAAATATTCCTAATAATACAGGATAAGATATTGCAACATTCTGAACAAAACAGATACAAAAGTTAATTTTCACAAAAAAACAAAAAAGAAAGTATAATTTTCACAACTCCAATGAATGAAAACAATAGACACATCAAATAAAATGGAAAAATGAGCGGATCTTAAACAAAATTTGATACATATAGTTTTTATGCGAAGCAGAGAGCTCAAATAATACTTTATTTTTCAATGGGTTATTTACATCAAAAATGAATGGAGAACAATGATTTTCGACCAAAAAAAAAAAAGTACAACTTATTGTTCACCGCGAGAAGCTCTACAGTATACTAAGATAGACCTGTGATATTCAACTGGTCTTTTGAATTAACAGCCTTTGGGCGATGTCTTCTAGAACCAGACTTCCTGTGCTTAACAGGGAGTTTCTTCAATGGAGATCTTGGAACTCCAATCTGGGGAGCAGGTTTACTCGGTGATTCTTTCATCAGCATTAATGGTGGAGGCTGTCGCAGAGCGGCAAGTGCTTTCCTCTGCTCTAACAAGTCTCTATGGTAAGCCTGCAACATGCACTTGTCAAATGAATAATTGCAAGAACCACTTTCATTTAGCTCTGTTTTTTTTTTAAAACCGGTAAAACAGCTGCAATGATAAAGAATTTGTACCTGGATGACGAAATTCCGCCTTTCACAGTCCATAAACATGTCTACAGTCCAATTTACTTTCAGCATTATTTTATCCCTAACAGTGCTAAAACTGAGTTGGTCTCTGGAAGTGAAACGATCTACTTCATTAAACCAGATGCAGGTGAAGAGATTGGTTATTGGAATATGTTCTCTGATGATGACACAGCCTTCAGGGACATCTGCAGACAGAAGTAATGAAACGGTATAAGCATTCAGAGATTAAGCTGCTCAAGTGCTCGAGGTTTCCGATGCTTACCACTGGTAATGGGGAGTTTTAGCTCTGAATAACGAGTCAGGCCTTCTCTCTTATAGAATTCTATTTGATAATCAATAGAAGCATTGTCATACTTTCCTGCTGCTTTGTTGGCCTCTGCTTCCTCAAAAACATCAAAGCGTTTGTAGTGCCTAGATATAGCAAAACTGGCATTCCTCCGCCATAAGAACCTGAAAGACCAGAGGCAAATAAAAGAATGAGTAAAAATAGTACAATGTCAAAGCAGGCCATCCATACCATTTTCTTTTAATTTTTTTTTTTTTCTTCATGTCATGAATTTACCACTACGCGGTGTGGTTCAAGCCAGAGTTATGATGCAAAGAGATGCGTAAGAGGATTGTATAATTTCTTGTGAGATTGATGCAGACTAATGATTGCATGCTCAAAAAAAAGCTAAGTATATTTTAAAACTTTACGATAATGATGTTAAAAGAAGTACATAAAATGTAATGTCATGCAGGTTTGATTGACAAAATTATGATGGCCTGTGCAATGAGGCAAAATTTCTTTTAAGATGAGCCTCAATTCTTATATTGTAGATCACAATCAATTATGTGATCATGAGTTTGAATATTATATAAAGTGGTAGATTCAAAGACAAATTTAGCGGCATTCAAAATTTTGTGATATGTTATCCATTAGATATAAGAAAAATTTTTCAATCATTGGTTTTGATAAAAGGAAGAAAATTCTAATTTCCTAGGGCAGAGTCCTAGAGCTCTCCTAGAATTACATGCAAGGACTCATCTTAAAATTTTTTTACATTCAACATTTTTTAACAACTTGTTTTAATATGTTTGATCATCCTTATTTATTTGCATGATCGATAAAAGATTAAATTGTTCTATAAAAATAATGAAATCTGGTCGATAATTCCATATGTAGATTTCATTTATGTTTGAAGACAACAGAATGGTTTAATTTAGCCAACAAATTTCAGAGAAGAATGTATGTTCTCGTACTAGGAGCAGAAAAGATCATCTTAATATAACGGGTATAACTTGAAGCAATTACAAAGAACTACCGAGAGAGAAAATGTTTTCCAAAATACAGAACTAATGATAACATAAAAGCATGGGAGAAAATATACTTCTAACGATGATGAACCCCATGCATTTTTAATAAGTCAAGGGTACCAATGTCAATGAGAGAATTTTTATGTCTTACTTGAAGTCCAATAAAGCCTTAAAGAAACAAAAAAAATTACCTTTTCCTATTATCGCCCCACCGATCGAAACAAAATTTGAAACTTTTTATCCACTTATTCTTCAAGCCCGGGAGACTACCATCATAAGCAATTGACTACTCAAATATTTGATCATCTGCATCCGCTACCTAAGGATTATTAAGAGGAGCACGCACTATCATAACTAGAAAATCTAAAATAAAAAGAATTGGAGAGAATTTATTGTTTATTTAGTTCAAAATTTGTGTAGTATTTATACAATATTAACTTTTAATAAAAAATATATAAAATTGAAGAATAATAATTATAGAATAATTATAATAGTGCACAGATTGAAGAGACGACACTAACAATCTATGGATCATTGAGGTGGCATGAAGTAAATAAGGAATGTGGACTCCTAAGTCAGTGAAACACTAATGAAGGTGCATGTTATGGAGATTGAATTTTTCACTCCCCCTTAAGCGAATGAATAGATGGTGTCCATTTCAAGCTCATATTAATTTTTGAAATATTTTTTCTAATAATCATTTGGTGATAACATAAAAAAGTTGCCCATCTCTTGGGAGAAACAAGAGTACAAATTAGACCATTATCTAACTTCTTAATAAAATACTTAACCACTTCAATATGTAGTTTGGTCATATTGCATGGAATTTGTACAATATTAATGGCCAGCTAACTTATTATCACAATAGTATCTCATAGGACATTTTCATATCAACCTTTAAATATCGTAGGATAGTTCTAACCATAAGAATTTGCATATTCCTAGTATCATACATTTAAATTTAACTTCTGCACTAGACCTTGCCACTGCATTTTATTTTTTACTTCTCCAAGCCACGAGTATGCCTCCTAAGAATGTGTATTGTACAATATCCTGAAATAGATCTCACATCAATTGTAAATCCTGCATAATCAACATCTATATAGGCTTCAAATGTCAAATCCTCCCCCTTTTGCATAAAATTCTTTTGGTAGGAGTTCCTTTCATATAAATATAAAAATCGATGTATAGCCCTAAGATGTGATACTTTCGAATTATTGATGAATTGACTTACCACACCAACGACATATGCAATGCCCGGTCTAGTATGTGGCGAGTAGGTAAGCCTTCACACAAGGTTTTGATATAATGTTTTTTATATGGCTAACTTTTAGAGCATCTAAAACTTTATGATTAAATTTCATAGAGCTCCCGAAAGGCTAGCATACCAACTTGCAACCTCAATGTCAAATAAGTACTTTAGCTTACTTGATTCTTTGACTTCAAATTCTCATAGCAAGTACTTTAAACTCTCCATGCCTTCCAAAATCACTGTCTGCAATGACAATATCAACATAAATTAGTAGTGTGAAGACTCCCCCTAAAGTCATGTGTTTCACAAATAATGTATGATCATCATGGCTCTATTTATATCCCATGATAAGCATTATCTAGGAGAACCTTTCAAATCATGTCTTTGGAGATTCCTTCAGTTATATAATACTTATTTAATACCATATCTTTTGTTCTGTGCTTGAGTCAAACCCCAATGAGACATCTATATACACCTCCAGATCACCACATAAGAAGGTATTCTTCATATTGAATTGTTATATTTTTCAATCTTTGATGCTGCTAATGATAAAATAACTTGAATAGTATTTTCTTTAGCAATGATAAAGAAATAAAATTCAAGAATCTCATATGTTTGAGTGCAGCTTTTTACCATTAGACTTGCTTTATATCTTTCTAATAACACATCGGATTTGTACTTTGTAGAAAACACCCATCTACATCATACTAGTTTCTACTCTTTTAGTAGTGTCACCAATTCCAACTTTTGTTCATTTAAAAGGTTTTCATTTCTGCTCTGGTAGTATTATTCTAATTTAATTATTTAAAGCACAATTAAAATTTTAGAGATTAAAATAGTATGAAGGCTAGAAAAGAAGATGAGAAACATTTTTGTCTAAAAAGAATAAGTTTAAGGGATATTAGCTTGAAGTACTTTTGTTTGTGGGCTTAATGGTTACTTAACGAGTTTATAGCTATGGTTTTATTAGTTTGATTAGACTTGCATCGCTTAAGATGTATTCCTCCTTGAGTATGCCAATAATGGCCAAGTTAAATGTGATTCTGGTAAGCTTAATCAGTGCATGATTAGCTAATCCTTGAGTAAAATTGTTAGCTAGGGTGAAGGGTATGGAAAGGCCATTTAAGAGAGAGAATTCATTTGTGAATGATATTTCTTTCTTGGGTTAAATAGTCACAAAATAGAAATCCTCTTCATTGAAAGTGATATTAACAAACATCCACATTTCTTGTAGAAGGATGAAAGCTTTTGTACCCTTTTTGAATGGAAGGGTAGCTAATAAAGATACATTTAATTGTTTTTTATTCAAAATTTTCTGTTTTAAGAATGTATATGGATAAAAGAAATATTTTCAAATACTATGGGAACAAAGTTTTTGAGATGTTCAAGGGGGAAAGAATTTGGTTATAATTCATATAAAACTCTTGAACCCAATGACCCTCATAAGTAATCAATTATAATTTGAGCTTTTGTTAAAGCATCATCCCCAATATTAATTTGGAACAATCTTTTGAAAAACAAGAGCTCTTATGAAAGCAATTAGCAAGTGGTCGTTTTTGCATCAAATCACCCCCTATGATGCACTGACACTTTTCCTCAAAGAGCCATGCAATGTCTGACACGTATTCAACATGACACGCATCCAGCACACCTCTGACACATGTAAGACATGCAAAAAATGTGTTCAATTAAAAAAATATTAAATACAAATTGGAAACGAATCTAAAATATTTTATGAATAATTTTAAAATATAATTTCTTGTATATAAAATTTTTTTTATTTAAAATATAAAACTAAACTTCTTATTTTTTATACACAACACCAAATCAATCGCTCGCACACAATACCCCATTCATCGAATATTCTCATTTTCATACCTCTTTGATGAGTCACGACTTTAGTTTCACAACAATACCCAATGTTATCTCAACATCGACATTTCAAAACTATCTCAACATCAAAGTTTGACACTGTCTTAACATTGATGCTCGATGCTATCAATTTCTACACACAATTTAACAGCACATCTTTGTCTAACACCATCTTAACATCGACGACCAACGCCCTCTCAACATTAATAAGAGACACCCTCTTGACATTGATGTCTGATACTTACTGCATAGCATCAATGCCCGACTCTTAACAACATTGTCGTCTCCTCTCTCGTTGGCTAATACATGGCATTGCCGTATGGCCTTCAACATCTTAATATTAATTATTTTAAACACAAATTCTAGTTAAATGACTTTGGCTTCCTGTGTTACTAACACTGTCGTTGCCATGTCCCAAGTCTTGGATGAAAAAAGTAACCGGTTGTGTTAGATAGTCAACAACCAACATAAAACTTATCGAATAATCATGACATGAATAATTTAATACAATATGTTAATGCTAGGGCATTCCCTAGAAGCCACATGCTGTATGACTTGAATACAACGAAAAATGTGTTAGGGTCACTACATCGACTCCCGAGTGCAATATTAAATAGGCAAGTGTTCATACATCATAGACGAATGTGGGCAAAGAAGCTAGAACATAAAAGTTGAATTATAATAGGAACTTGAAGTAAGTTTCCTTATAGACAAATTAATGAAATTAATTGATATTATGATTCATAGGAAGTAACTATTTTGTGTATTCGAGAAACTAAATTTGTTGGAAATCAAGGATCAACCTTAAGCCCATATCTTTTTTGCTTTAATTATGGATGTTCTTACTAGACATTTCCAAGAGGATGTACCTTGGTGTATGTTTTTTGTTGATGATAATCTTCTTGTTGATTGGACTAGAAAGGGAGTTGAAAGTAAACTAGTTGATAAGACCAGAGAGGGTGTTGAAGGTAAACTTGAATATGGAGGTCAGCCTTAGAGTCTAAAGGTTTTCATTTGAATAGATCTAAAATCAAATACATGGAGTGTAATTTTAGTTGTAATAGATCTAGTGGGGGGATTGTGACTTTGGGGCGATCAAGTCATTAATAAGAGTACATATTTTAGATATCTCGGGTCTATTGTTCAGAGTGATGGTGAAATAGATGAGGATATATATTAGTAGAATTCAAATTGGATAGTTGAAGTGGAGGAATGCATCGGGCTTATTGTGTGACAGAAAAGTATCCCTCAAACTTAAAGGAAAATTCTATAAGAAGGTGGTGAGACATGCTATGCTTTATGGTGCAAAATGTTGGCAATTAAAAGATAAGCATAAATTTATGTGAAGTGTTACAGAGATGAGGATGCTCAAGTGGATTAGTGGATTTACTCTTACAGATAAAAAATGAAACGAGCATATACGTGAAAAGGTTGGAGTAGCTCCACTGATAGACAAGATTAAAGAGCCGCCTTAGATGGTTTGGTCACATAAAGCGAAGACCTTCAAATGACTAGGTTAGGATAGTAAATGTATTAGAATTGGCAAATGTTAAGAAAGGTAGAGGTAGACCTAAACAAACTTGGTTAGAAAATATTAGAAATGACATTTTTTATTATATTTCAATGAGAATTTGACTCTTAACAAGACACAATGGAGAAAAATGATTCATGTAGCCGACCCCACGCAATAGGACAAATGCTTGATGTTGTTGTTTATTGTGTTACATACTGGAATATTAGAAAACTTGTATTTTGCTCTCACAAGTATCACAATCAAACTCTTCATTATTAATATTTTTTAATAAAAAGGAAAACATAGTTTTGAGAATAATAAAAAAATATATCCAAGGCATAGGTATTGGAGCAATATCCTTTCATTATTGGATTTAAAAGTTTCAAAATAGAAAGATAATATAACAGGTAATTTGGAATTGACTTGATCATTTAATATTAAACTCAAATTAATTTAATTTTTTTAATGAGAATTAAATGCATATAATTATCATTTTCTGAAGAAACACCGACCATTATCACAGAAGCCACCATCCCATTTAAGTTCATAACATATACAAACCAAAAAAAACTATATAAAAAATACTAAGATAAAGTTCCAAAGTGATTTGGGACTAAATAAATAAATTTAGGTTCTCAAATTTACAAATCATATATAATACTTTTTAAAAAAATTTGTAATTAATTTTTTATAATGAGAATAATGTTTATTTTTAATGAATAATATTTAATTTTTTATCTATTTATCAAAGATAAATGATCTAAAATGAATTATTTATAAATACAAATTTATAATATAAAATTATTATATAATATTTAGGTTTATATTATATCTAAATATGTAGCATGAATTAGTAATATATTAAATTTATAAACTTATAGGTGAACTAAATTTAAATTAAATACAAAACAAATTTAAATATTGAATATATTTAAAAATTAAAGAATATATTATTTTTGTATGAATTATATTTATTTTTAGTCACAAATTTATATTATTGCATAATTAACAAAATTAGTATATTATTAATCATATTTAAATAATTTTATTATTTATTGCATCATTTGAAACAACCTCGATTGAACAATTGAACCTAAAACTCTCCTTTTTTTTTGGTTCTATGTCCAATCAATTTTTCACAACCTTGAAAAAATAGCACTGTAATTAACTTTTGATAGATAACAAATTGGTGAATAATAAAGTACATGCAAGACATTTCAAAGTATGAGGGATTTGTTTATAGGAATGTCTCCTTAACCAACACCAATTTTTAAGGATCCATCAATAATTGTCATTTTCTTATTCCTAGAATCCGGAGTCTATGAATAAATTTGTGTGAAATGTTAGTCATATAGTATGTATCTCCTGCATCAATAATCCAGCAGCTAGGATTGTGCATTTCTAAACCATTAGTAGATGAGATGATGCCTAAGAATGCAAAAATAAGTACCTACTGTAGAAATTTGTTTACTGATATCATGAAATATTTTAATTTTTTATTAGTTTTTTTATGTAACTCAATGAGAGATTCTTTTATGTTACCTTCTTTCGCATCTGCTACATATGCATATTTCTGTTCTTTTGCTTGCCCTCCTAGTGTTGTCCATTTTTTGTTTAGTGGCTTGCCATTAAAATTCTAGTTTTTTTTTTTTTTTTGTATAGATTGAGTCTTCTTACAATAAGTGCATCATAAAGAATTTCTATTGAAAATTTTTGTTCTGTGGGGCTACTTATGCTTCTCAAAAGAAAAGAGTTTTGACTCAGGATATTTGATGTTCACAACATTTGACATTAAAGCCAAACCTTTTGTGGGGTTATTAGAAATCATAGCTTTCTTCTTACTCTCTTCCATTTGAATGATGGCAATGACTTCATTTAGGGAGTGCACATCCTCCTTTCCTAGAATATGTACCCTTACAACAACAAACTAAATTTTTTTTTCCAAAAAAAAAATCATAAATTAAATCTTTTTCAACAAAACTTTTAAAGAGGGCTGCATTTTTACTACATTCCATTTGGATGCATTGATAAAAAGACATATTTTATCGAAGGCTGGCGGTAGATTGAAGTATTATGTGATGGATCATCATCCTTTTTTGTGGTCGAGATCTTAATTGTAATCTCATAGATTTGAACAGCATCATAAGGCTTAGAATATATTTGATTGACTATATTCTAAATTTTCTTTAATGAATAAACATGCATGTATAAAATATTTCATGAATCATGGAGTTGCAACACTAAGGTATCACTGATTAGTTCTAATCAGCCCAAGTACAGAGTGTCAGATCGCCTTGCTGAGATAAAATGCCAACTAAATGGCCTAATTTTTTTCCTCCCTTCAAGGCGTGAGCGCAATGTCACCAGGGGTAACTTTTTCCATTCAAACAATATGTTGAATAAATTTTTTGTAACTCTCCCATGGAATTTGGGTTTTCGATCTCAAGTTCCAAATGAACTAAAGACCAACAGAACACGGGTACTTTTGTGATTCATTGAACGGAAAAATATGGTACTAATGGGTTACAAAGAGAAAGAATGATAGAGATAAGGCTGTAGCGACAAAGGATATAAATAAAAAGATTATAAGAAATAGTATAGACTTGCAACAATTAAAGCTTGAAAGTTCTGGGCAATGTAGTGAAAAAACTATGGATTATAAAATACGATGAAAAAAATCTAATACTTTGATGCTGAGACAATAATTGGTTGAGTATTTTATTTCAACGTTTATGTAGCATTTATACAATAGTTTGAGAGCTTATAATACTATAAAAAATCAAGGAGTAAAAATTACAAAATCATTACAATAGTGTACATATTAATGAATTGGCATAATAATTATTACAATAATTCATGGGGTGATGAGATGCCACAAAAAATCCACAAATCAATGAGGCGGCATGTAGTAAATAAGTTGTAGGACTACTGGGTTTAGTGGAATATTGATGGATGCATAATTAAAGTAAAATTAATGGAGTTAGATTTGATAGAGAATGTTTTTTGAACATAAATCAATGCTGATATTTGAGGAGTAAGGTTTTACCACATCCTTGATACTTAGAACAGATGCATCAACAGTAAAAGAAGGCTCATATTCCATGGCAAGACATAGAGTAGGTACCACAATTTGAGTACAATCCAAATTTGAAGGAGGAACTAAACCTACAAGTTTGTAGTTTGGCTCTAATCACTTGTATTAATCCCATTATCCTGAACAATACAATCCATAAAAGGATGAGCCTTGAAGCAATTTGAATATTTAAGACCCATATTTTATAAAATCATAGCAGGAGGGAATGCCATCAAATTCAACCACTTGAGGAGAAGCCAATCTAAATCTCCTAATTTAAAAGGAATAATAACATCCATTTTTAAGAACCTAATCATAGACAGCATAAAAAGCGTAGTGGCAGCTTCCACTGTTAAAAGTTTACTAAAGATAGAAGCAAGAGAGCATAACATATATTGATTATAGTAGTGGATACGATGACAAGGAAAAACCACCCAAATCGAAGTTATAGGTGGTTCCTAAAAAAAAATCAAATAATGAAAACCACTTTAGCATACACATCAAAAACATTCACATAGAAAGATCTTAATAACAAGAGACTGAAATAATACGCTCTCGAGATAATTTAATAAGAACGTAGCAAAGGCAAAGTAGCCCAAAACAGAAATTGTCAATCAAAAGCAGGTCGGACAAGAATCTATGAATAATCTCAAGACTGGAAACACCCCATGATACCCTTTAGAAGAATGCACCTTAATTAGCAGTGCAACGAGATACATAAGCTGCCTGGATTCCTTATCAAAATGCTCATTCAAGAAATTATATGATCTGGTCTTGCCTTATAAATTAAATTCTAATGAGTGAGAAGATTATAACTATATTAAAGCTGACATTGAGACTAGTAGCTAAAAGTTTATTAGCACCAGATGTCTTTGAAAGTTTTGCAGCTCAGTACTTTATCCAGCAACATAGGAGATCAGAAAAACAAGAGAAATCCGCCTATGATGCTGTAACTTGATAGTACTTTGTGCGAAAAGACAGTAAATCACTTGAAGCAAATGTAAAATACATAGTTTCGATGGCCAAATATTACAAGCAAAACTAAGAAAATTGCAGCATCGAGTACTTTGCAAAAAAACTAAATTGATTGTTAAAAATAGATAGAAACTGACATTTACTTGAGATGAATCTTGTTTATACCTTTCCAGGACTTGATATGGATCAACAACAAGCTCCAGTTTCCCATCTACCCAAAGAGAAAATCGAGCATTTGGAAAAAGTCTATGAAGTAATAACTTTGGCACCTAAAAAAATAGTGCACAGTTAGAAAACTCATTTATTTAGGTTGCCGTAACAGTAAAGAAACTGTTTAAAACATTATATGTTTGCTCAAAAAACTTCTAAGCGATCTAGAATTTCATCGAACAACAAAAAAAAGGAGGGTAGGAAAACTGAAAGAGTTTGGATGCCCTCGGTTTAACCTCAGGATCATGGATACACAATGAAAATAACCTCTTCGCTAGGAAGAATAAGGCTGCATGTAACAACTACTATGCATAAACCACAAATAGTGGAAACCTTGTGCACAAGGTGTGTCCTTTTCATATAAATGGAAAAAAAAAAACTTTAGAAGCAGGAATAGTAAAAAGCAAATCAACTTATTAACAAATAATATTTAAAAGGAACGGCATAAAATCGCCAAATGTATTTGAATAGCCAAGCTTGCAAAGTCGAATTATCTAAATTAGAATGCATTTAACACAAGTGTTTCTTTCCAATATGAATGCTAGTATGCTACCAAGACTCAAAGTTAACAGTCTATCAATATGTATGCATTTTACACAAGTATTTCCAACTAGTATGAAAACTATCAATACCCAAAGTTTTACTAATTACATGAGATTGCCTTAATGAATTGTCCAAACTATTCAGTCATGTTAATTTGTTAATCCATCCTCACTCAGGTTGAAAGATCTGGGTGAAAGTGCCTTCCAATCTTTAGTTTCGGTTCTAGTTCTTGCTTGGACTACTCCAATTTCTGTTAGGTGAGTTCATAAAATATAATTAAATTTTTAATAATCATTTCCCATAGCTCGTACAATCACTTTACACTTCAACAAGAGTATATGAGTTCATTATTTTGCAACATCATTTGTACAGAAACAAATAACCTTTGCTAATAAATGCAGCACAACCAATTCTAAGCTGCGAAAATAACATGCTCATAAATAGTTTCATGATTGGATCTTACTAAGCCAATACAATAAACATGCAAATACTGGGCCTAAGTATTAAAGTAAAAGCATAAAACAATATCTAGAATTAGGTAGTAGTAGTTAGGTGTCAATATTGGCATAAGCAAATAACGTGATGCCACAGGTTAGTGGTTTGATAGGCATTCTCCTGCCTTAGATTTGCAACTAACATTCTGAAACAAAATGAAATCTCAACCTCCCAGACCCCCATTCTCTACCTTTTGTACAGAGATCAAGCAGTAGGTAACCAGAAAAAGGGGGGCAGGTGTAATTCCATGCTTCAGTTGTTAGAAAAAAATATAAGGAAAAATGAGAATTGAAAATTTGTAGAAAAACTCAGCACAAAAGAAATGAGGAGTAGCGCAGTTTGGTGATTCAAAATTTTTGAAGGGATGGTAATTGGTGAACCTTCCTTTTAAATCCATGATAAATAGGGTGTGTTTCAAGGAGCAGGCAGGACTAAGTCTAGCCTTGATCTCTGAAGGCCAATGAAATTAAGAAAGAATTACAAAAGATTACCCATGATTAAGAATTTTAATGTGGGGAAAAAAAGATAAATTCTTTTACATTGTTGGGTTCCAAGATAGGCCTATAAAACAGGACAGCCTAATCATGTTTCCCTTATATTATGGACTTAAGCCACTGGATTGATGAGGGATACGTATAGAAATCAGGAGAGTGTGGGAAAAAATATATATAGAAAGTAATAAAGAAGCTAGATGGGGGAGGAGCCCTACCAAGCCTCTCTCCAGCTCCTTGAATTGAAGCTTTTTGATCTTGCTTCTCTTTTCATTCATCCATAATCTTCCTCCTTGATGCCTAGCTTGTTTTTCCTTTCTGGCTTTGCCCTGACTTGACCATCGTTTCTCCTTTTTTAATGCATCCAAAGGCCTATCTTCTTCTTCTTCACCATCTTAAGTGTGTGAATATATATATATATATATATACACAGAGAGAGAGAGAGAGAGAGATGAGAGAGAACAGATGAGAAAGAAAATTGTGGTAGAGAGAGTTTGACGAAAATTGGTGAAGAGGGCTTGGCCAGCTATGGCAAGAAATGGAGAGAAAATTATAAAGGCACTTCTTGATTGAATTAAATAAAAATGCTAATAAAGACTAGGTATTTATAGACAAACAAACACCTATCAGAATGAATTTGTCGATCCTCCTCCATGACATGCTTCCACGCCTCACTTCTGCGCCAATCATGCTCATGCTTAGCTCTGCGCTCGATCGCGACTAGCTGAGTGCTCTCTCACTCTATTTCTTGTCTGGTTTTGCCAACATTTTGTTTATGCCTCATGACATCAAGCTTTGCCTGTGTTCAACTGGTGAATATTCTATTAGACTTCTTGATCCCATCGTATTATTATCAAATTTTATGTTAAAGTAGATTGCTCTAAACTTTTCTAGTCTAACCTACCATGTATGTGATACTCAATGCGCATGTTAAAGTAGTCTCCTCGCATTGACTCATCCATGGAACCTCCTATCACTTCAATTAAGGTTTCTTTCATCAACTTTCACAACACTATTTCAATTAGTCTACATTATACTCTATGAGCTCTACTTTTGATAAATCATTGTAAGTAAATGTTGTCACCACTTATCTTTATGGGCCTTATATGACAAGGGTTCTAATTGACATGGATGTTATTTCAGCTTTAGATAGAGAGTCTCAGATCGAGTCTCCCTCTTGTGGAGATTGGCAAAATATTGAATTTGAAAGCATTCCATTGCATTAGACATCTTATAAAGTTTTTGGGCACAAATATTCTGATTGCTTTAAAGCTCATCCAAAAATAAGAAATTCATCCGCAATTAATTGAGGCAGTCAGGTTCAAGGGGAGCATATAGATAATCAAAATCTATCACAACTCATGAAGATTCCTGCTCCCCACCGTCTTCTGCTCAATCTTGCACACAAATTTTGGCACAAACTCTTCATGGATCTATAAAATCAAAGCCTTCAAACTCTCCCAATGTTATGCTTAGCCCGAAGGAATATATCATGACATCATCCACATTTAAGTGTAATATTTTAGATCCTCCAATTAAGCTAGAACCCCTTCCCACTCCTTCGAATGAGGATATTGTTGTCACATATTATGATGTAAGATCCCGAATTGGGTCCTGACGCGTGAAGACGAAGAGGACAGTTTGTCACTTGAAGTTCGTTCTCGCATAAGAAGACTGGGCGAAGGAGGAGTTCTTCGATTGATTTGATGAAGACGAAGTAGCGCCGATGTTGTTCGACCTTCTGGTCGTGGCCGGCTTCATCAATTGGAGTCGAAGGAGTCATTTCCATTAATTCAGGTTCTATTGAGGAAGACGAGGGAGCTCGCTTCCGTCATTTGGTGTTGTGGAAGCCGAAGAGGGGTTCGTCACTTGGCATTGCAAGAGACGAAAGGATGGATTCATCGTTCTTATTAATCATGAGAGAGGGATACAGGATGAAACCGGGAGAGAAAGATAGAGAAATAACGGGAGGGAGAGGGGGGGAGAAAGAGAGAGAGAGAGAGAGAGAGAGAGAGAGAGAGAGAGAGAGAGAGAGAGACCAAGCTTAAAACGGGCACGTGGAAGAGACAAGTGCGGGCGAGGGCTAAGGCTCAACTGACTATTGAAGGAGAAAGAGAGTTCTTCAAGTTAGTTATTTAAAATTTATTTATAAAGCTTTTGTTAATTTTATGAATTTAAGTGAGGAGTTTAATTAGAATGCGAAGAATTAGAGATTTAAAGGATAAATTAAAACTAAGAATTCTTTTTAAAACGTATTTGATTAAGGTTGAAAAAGTATTTTTTTATAAATTAAAAATATCCTAATAAATAAGACTATATTAGAAAATAAATCTAAATAGATTATGATTTTTCCATTTGTGATATTATATTTATATAGAGAGAGTGAGAGATTTTAAGTAATAAATGAGATTATGGGAAAATTTTAATTAATTGAGTAGAGCATACTTTTTATAAAATATATCATAGAGAGAAGAGTGTGTGAGTAAATTTTATTATAAAAATTTATGAGAGATTTTATTTGATTAAATTATTCTTTAAGTAATAAAATAATTAAGTAATAAATTTAATATTTATTAGAAAGTTTAGAAAATACATTCAAAATTAGAAAGATTATTTTCATACGAGAACAAAAACTTTATAAAAAAATTAACTTATACAATTAATTGATTAAATGACTGTGAATAATTGGCATATTTAATGGAATTGAATTAATTATAATAGTAGATTTAAAATATCATCTATTAGGTTATGAATCTTCGATTGAATTTTGTAAGTAAATTTAGAAAGAGAAAGAGAGTGCAACAACAACAACAAGCCTTTATCCCACTAGTTGAGGTCGGTTACATGAATCTTTTTTCTCCATTGTGTCCTATTAAGACTCAAATTCTCGTTTAAATCTAACAAAGAAGGATTATTTCTAATACTTTCTAACCAAGTCTTTTTAGGACTACCTTTCTTAACATAAGTCAAATCTAATATATTTATTTTCTTAACTGGGTCATCAGAAGGCCGCCATTTTATGTGACTAAACCATCTAAGGCGACTTTCTCTAATCTTATCTTCCACTGAAGCTACTCCAACCTTTTCACGTATTTGTCTCTAAGAGTAAAGCCACTCATTCACCTGAGCGTCCTCATATCTACAACAGTTAACTTAATATTATGCTTCTCTTTTAATGTCTAACATTCTGCACCATAAAACATTGCAAGTCTCACTACCATCCTATAGAATTTTCCCTTAAGTTTGAGAGGGGTTTTTCTATCACACAATAAACCCAATGCATTCCTCCACTTCAACCATCCAACTTGGATTTTATTAATAATATCCCCATCTATTTCACCATCACTCTGAACAATAGACCCAAGATATCTAAAACATGTTCTCTATTATTAATGACTTAATCACCCAAAGTCACACTCCTCCCCTAGATCTATTATTACTAAAATTACACTCCATATATTCAGTTTTAGATCTACTTAAACAAAAACCTTGATGTTGACCTTCGTAATTCAAGTTTACCTTCTACTCCC